AATGCCCGGAGGGACTGGAGAGAGCAGGAACGGCTCCTGGGCTTGCTTCTGTGTTGCTTCCTGGAGGCAGAGTTACAGGAACTGCAACCGCCCAAGGCTCTAGGTGCTCACTGTCCTGGCTCAAGGGGAACCGACAGTTCTTCTGCACGGCTAGGGGCCTCCTGCCACAGCTGTGGCTTTTTGGGATCCATGTGAAGCTGTGATGGGGCTGGATACATCACTATTTCCTGCATTCTCCACTTGATATCTACTGTATGTTTTAAGCAAGATATTGCTTACTGTCTTCGCATGCTATTCATAATGTGATTGCTCAAATTCCTTGAGCATGACAAAAATAAACTCCCTTCAACCTGGATCACCACTTACTAGATTTCTTTTCTTTTCCTACTTTGTTAAGTGAACAATAGGACCATGTTTGCAGGTTTAGGATCTTAAATTCATCCCTCCCTATGCTCCCTAGATCCAGCCTGCCAGTCCAGCAAGGAGCTGGGCTCCCCAGAACCCCCACAGGCCCTCACATGTGATGGTTCAAGCATTTGAAACTCCAGTTATTCAGAAAACTCCTACCACGTTTTGGGCATATATGAATTATGCAGGTCTAACTTTTTTTTTTTTTAAGAATATTTTATTTTCATTATTTTTAAAATTTAACCAGTCAGAGAAAGAAGCAAAGGGAAAGTGAGAAAGCAAGCCATCAGGTCCAGGACTCGAACCGCGGTCAGGCATGTGGGACTCCAGTGCCTTAACCATTATGCCACCTGCTGGCTCCAGGTCAATGGTTTTTAAGAAATGTTTTGTTTCCGGGAACCAGCAGTTAGTGTAATGGCTATGTTGCTGGACACCCACGTAGTCAACCATGGTTTGCGTCCTGGACCCGGTGGCTTAAAACTCACGCCGGGCGCGTGTGTGTGCGTGCCCAAGATCCCGAGAGGAGAATGGAGGAGAAGGGATTGCGGCATGACCATCCCCTCTGGGGGGTGATTTCTCGCTTTCTGTCTCTCTGTCTCTCTCTGTCTGTCTGGCGAATGCACACGCCCTATAGCAAAAACCTCTCCAAAAAAAAAAGAAAAGAAATGTTTTGTTTCCTAATTAGATTCAGAAACAGTGTTGACAGAAACGGAAATGGGGGAAAAGGAGAGGGCAGAAAGGAAAGGGAAGTGGGAACTTCTAATATGACTGGTCCAGGTGCTGCCCACAGAGGCCACATGGCGATCAGAGGCCATGGCTGAGCTCCACCTACCTCTCAGGCTCGGTCCCTTTCCCTGCCTATCAGTGACAGCCCCCGGGACACTATGAGCAGTATGACGTGACACAGCATCTTTTCTGGCCCCACGGCCTCTCCTAGGACGGGTTATGCCTGTCATCCTTGCTTCAGGACCATGATATCCGGTCCTCTCTCCCGACCTGACCCAGGTGCCACATAAGCACCTCAAAATCAGCATGTCCCAAACTGACCCGATCCCCTCACTCCGCCCAGCCCACTTGGCCATCGATGCTCCTACGTCGGCAGCGACCACCAGAGACCCCTGCTGCCCAGCAGCATACCCTTGTGCCACTCTGATCCTGTCCTGCACCTCTGTACCCACTTTTCTACCTTCGATCCACTTTTTCTGTCAAAAGACACATACGTGGGTCCCGTGCCCGGTATTCCCATTGCCTTCAGATCCACCCGTTTCTTCCAGTTCCTGTGTCAAAAGCCTGAGGCAGGCTCCAACCCTCTCCCCTATGCTAACCCAGGGCACCCCACCCACCCGTCTGCTCAACACACACGGCAGACACAGGCCTAAGGATCTTTCCTTAAGATCCCCATGACTCCCACCCACTCAGGTCATGGCCAGGCTCCAGCGTGTGTGACAGTCCCCACTTGATCTGGCCTCATCTCTCTGCCCTTCCTCACCCTCACCTTTCACCTCATGGAGCCCCACCTACCAGCACCCTGGATTTCCAGGGCCACATACAACCGCAGGTGCTCAATGAGCATGTGTGACACCAGGAATAAGTCCACGCATGAGCAACAGTCAGGGCAAGCTCACCAAGGAGCTACCTGAACTGGGTTTGGAAGGATGAGTCAGCTTTCACCGAAAAAGGGGACACAGGCATTTTGGAAACAGGGAAAACCTGGGTCCAAAGTATCCTGTCTAAAGTGGTCTCATGGTGTGGCAGCTTTGGGTTCTGAGCTGGAAATGTTCACTTGGCAAGGTAAGTCAGGGGTCAGGGCAGCTGAGGCGGGGTGTGTGTCACCGGGAAGACACGGAAATACATCCAACCACAGTCCCTAATGATGTCCAGCTCCATGCTCCCTGGACACCCTGGAGTGACCGGGAAGTCAGAGGTTAAATTCTGTGCTGGGAGTTGTGGCACGAAGTGCTTCCTTAAAAACCGACTCTCCACGTGTGATAAAAGAACACGTGCCACCCCTGGCAAACTCCAGGCATCTGTGACCAGGCGCTGTGGCACCACAAGGACACGACCCTCCTCTCTCCGTCAGCTGGGATTCCCCGAGCAGCCGCCCCTCCACCTGAGAGCAGTGCCCAGCAGAAAGGGTCAGCCGCTTCAGAGACCGCAGAAGAGGGACAATAAATGGAGAAGTTCAGCAAATAATCCCCAGTCCCCTAGCCGACGAAGCTTCCCCTGACCCAGAGAGAAGGGAAGCTACTGAATTAGATTTTTATAAATGAACATTTGGCATCTCTGACTAGGAGCAGCCACCGGGCCGGAGCTCGTGGTGACGCAGTTGCACTGCGCAGGGTCTGCAGTCCATCTGGCGCCTGACTCCCGGGGCTGCGTGGTCGCGGCTCTCCATACTCCTTGCACAGGGAGGGATTAATCTGAGGCCGAGCCGACAGACGGAGAGGTCTGGCCACCATCCGCAGCAGGGCTTCCTCGTCAGTTGCTACAAAATGCCTCGCGCTCCGGTCTAGAGGCCAACTAAATAAGAAACTCGGGAGTGAAAGCAATGGGAAGAACCTTTTCTCACCCTGCCCACTCTGCCATTCCCCTGGAACTTGGGGTCAGACCTTTGGGAGCTCTTGAGATGCTGATCTGAGAACATTCCAGAGGCCAGTACAATGAGATGATTCCCACCCCTCTCCGGGAAAGGGCTTTTAGAGGGAGCCCGGACAGTCTCCACTCCTGGCCGCACTCAGGCTGTGTAATTACCAGGCTGACTAGCCGAGCCCCTTGCCCTGCTCACCTTCCACTAAAACGCACGGGGCAGCATAATCATGCAATGTGCTTATTAATCCTACTCATCTGACACCACGCTCTTCTGCCCCAGGCTAGATGTTAGGAGAAAATGATAGGGATAGATTCTGCTCCTGTCAGACTCACCAAGACTTTCGGAAAACCGAACGACCAAAGGCCATCTGCCACCCACTCGCCAAGCACTGCAATGACCCCGAAGGTACAAGCAGAATGTTAAAGACACAGATGGGGACAGCAGGAAGATGGGAAAGCCCATGCCCTGGGCCCGAGCTCTCCCAGCCTTCCTGGAGCTCAACCCCAAGCTGTGAGACCTGAGCTGTCCTCTCCCAGGGCCTGAGCTCCCAGCCCTTGCCCTGATTCACGAGTGCTGCTTCAGACCAATTCATCAAAAGACACTTGGGCTTCTCCAATCAGGAACATTTTTATTAGCTTCCCCGGGAGTTCTTATGGCACAAAGCTATACCTAATCATTCTATTTTATAGAAAGTTCTGTTCATATAGAGCCTTGAAGTCAGACAGCAGGTAAGACTCAGCTTGGTCAAAAAGGTTTCCCTCATTCTTTCACTTTTAAATGTTATCACTTTCAGACAGTGAGGACAGAGATGGGGAGCAGTTTAGCAGGCTCCTTCCCCATCACCCAGGACCCAGCTCAGCTGCCCACCCACTCCTCCTGGGCTGTCTGGCCATGTCTAGAGAGCTTTGTGGTTCTTGTCCCTGGGGGAGGAAAGGTAGGTGCTATTGGTGTCAAGTAGACAGGGGCCAAGGCTGCTGCTGAAGACCGTCTGATGCACACATCAGCCCCAGAGCAAAGAATTCCCTGCTGATCTGTCACCAAATGCCAATAGTTGGAGGCTGAGATCCCTGCCTTAGGGCTTCTGCTGCAGCAGGCATCAATCGCAGCCATCCCACCTTGGGGACATACGACGCTAATCCAATCACTGCGGCAAGTGTTCAGGGCTGGTGAATGAGACACATTCTCTTTTATTCTTAAGAGTTCTTGGTGCACAATTTTGATACCCAAGAATAAAACATTATCATAACACAACCTGATGTTACCGAATGTTACCTAAGCTCTAGGTCAGAATTCCTATTGAAACACCAGTGACGGATTCTGAGCATCAGGACTACTGAACGCCAGCACAGGAGTCTGCTGAGAAGCCAGAACAGTTCTCTGCTCAACTGCGACAGTGGCCAGCCCCAGCACCAGGCCTAGGGAGAAGGCTGTTCCTGACGATTCATCACAGCCAAGGACTGAGACTCTCCCGGCACTTCTGGGAGCCTGGAGTCTCCAAATCAGCAAGTGGAGAGAAAGCTGTTGTCCTTTCAGTCCTTCGGGGATTGCAGACAGCCAAGTGTGTTGATGGGTAGAAAACTGCTTTGTAAACTATAAAGAACTGTACAAATGTACAACAATACATTTCTGACATCTGCACGTGCGTGACAATATATGACAACCAGCAGGAGTTTCCCTAGACATTTTGACCCTTTTCATGACATATCACAACTAGAAGTGACTTTGGAGATCAATGAGTCCAACCCCTCAGTTTTACGGAAGGTCATTATGACTCTCACACAGATCGTGCAACAGGCGATGGCCAAGGCCAAGAAACAGCCCAGGCTCCCGTCTGCTGGCCAGCCAGGATACTCCCACGGCCCTCCACTGGAGATGCTGTCCCTCCTCTAAGTACTCTAAGTTCCTAGACAGAAAAAGCATGTCTTACGCATAAGGGTCCGAGGGTCTTGGACACAGGAGGTAAATGTTGAATTGGTGAACAAAATGTGCAGTCTTCACTTACCACATCGTAGCCAGTCGGGGCTCGGTTCCGAGAAGCCACCACCCCGACTCCGGTGATGGGATCCATGGACGTGTCTGGCAAGGCTTCTGAAAGGTCTTTAACTTCAGGCATGGTGGATTGGTTCTGTTGCAGAGAGGGTAGAAAGAGAGCACAAAATTCAGACTTGGTATTTAAAGTAAACAACACAAAGTCTCAAAAAATAGAACCTGAATCTTGGGGCAAAAATATCCTGAGCTGGGGTCAGCAGGTGATATGGTGGTTAAGGCACTGGATTCCCACATGGCCAACCACGATTCAAGTCCTGGACCTGGTGGCTTGAAAATCATGCCAGGTATGCGTGCGTGCATTCCCAAAATCCCAGGAAGAGAATGGAGGCAAAGGGATTGGGGTATGTCCATCCCCCTCAGGGGATGATTTCTCACTTTCCTTCTCAATGTTTCTCTTTATCTCTCTGGTGGACACATGCACTCTATGGTGAAAAAACTACAAAGAAAAGAAAATATCCTGAACGAAGTTCCCATACCTGAATTGGCTGTAAGGACCCTGACCTCACCTGACCCTTTCCTCAGGTCAGCAATTCACTCTGAACCAGCTGTGGTACAGTGCCTGCCCTAGAGGCTGTCTTCCATAGGCTGGGGCCACATAGAGAGGGCCAAGTTTGGTTCCCAGTCCAATTACTGGCCAGGCACAGTGCTATGAGTGGTGCCAGAAACCTGGAGAGGCTGAGGCTGGAGGATCAAGAGCTTGAGTTGGCTTGGGCGTACGCCAAGACCGTGTCTGAAAATGAGCCGGGCATGGTGGCCTGCACCTGGAGTCCTAGCTGGGATGCTGAGGCAGCAGGATCACGACAGCAATACCCTGTCTTAAATAAAGGGGGCAGGGCAGCAGGTGGCGTAGTGGTTAAGGCACTGGACTCCTACAGGGCTGACGGCTAATCCAGACCTGGCAGCTTGAAAGTCACACCAGGCGCGTGTGTGTGCATGACCAATCCCGAGAGGAGAGTGGAGGAGAAGGGATTGTGGAGTGGACACTAGGGGGTGATTTCTCACTGTCCCTCTCACTGTCTCTCTCTATCTCTCCAGTAAGTGCACACACCACACACCCTCTGGCAAAACCTTAAAAAAGGAAAAAAAAATTTCAAATCACCTCTGACCTCTGCTCTTCTCAAGTTAGCACTGAATGATGACCTAACACAGCTAATGAGGGCTTGTCTCTGTTCTACAGAGCTGATTTTGACTCAAACCCAAAAGTGAAGTATTCTCAGCTCTACTGATCAGCTGCCTGATTTCTAAACAGATATGGGTAGTTCCTCTGACAATGAATCAGACATGGCTAAGTCTGCCTCAATCCCTCCTTATGGAGTGCAGACTTCAAACCCAACCCCTCTACCTCCCACGATCAAAGTGACTCTCATCAGTCAGAGCTTTGCAAACACATAGAAGAAAGCACACTGGGCAAGGGACAAAGGAATGGTATTCGAGTCCAGGCTCCGTGACTCGTGACTCACTAAGGTAACTTGGAGTAAGCAATTTAACCTTTTAGAGCCTCAATTTTCTCAACTAAAAAGCCAGGTCAAAGACTGACAGTTGCAGAGCTAATGTGAGGATTCAGAGTCAATGAAAATGAAAGGCCTAGAGAAGCCTCTGGTACAGAATAGGTGCTCAAAAAAAGCAGGGAAGAGGGGCAGGCAGGTGGTGCGGTGGTTAAGGGCACTGGACTCCAAGGGCAACTGCAGTTCAAGTCCCGGACCTGGCAGCTTGCTTTCTCACTTTCCCTCTCCCTCTCTCTCTTGCTGTCCCTTTCGGGTCAAATTTAAATAAACAAATTTCTTTTCTTTTTAAAAAAAGGTAAATAAAAATAAAAAAGCAGAGGAGATGGCAGGGTCTAGGGTAAACAGCCAGTTGGTCAGAAATGTGGTGGGCACCACACCCTAGAGGACAGGCAGACCCCTCTGTTGTGTTTAACACCCCCTGCTCCCCCAGGTCAGACAGGTACTTACTCGGAGCTAAAACTAACCATGACCATAATTCTTTCTGGGCACTTTGAGAGAAGGGGAGGGAAAACGGAATCATTACGCTGCTGCCAAAACTGCCTCTTGATGTGACCAGAGGAGACAGGTGGGCTACAGAGAGCACTAGTCTGGGCAGCTGGAGAGGCAGTCCACCGGAAAACAAGTAAAAAAGCCAACACCTTATGTAGATGAATTTAAGTACTTTTAAAAGGACATGCAGTGAAAAAGAGCAAGTTAAATTCCACCTCCTTCTGCAGCAATTAAACTCCACTGGCTGTGGGTCTGCCAGATTTCCCAAGGCTGGTGACTGCTTCTAAAGCAGACCTAACAGCCTGCCCGACTAGGCAGGCAAGAGGAATATCTCACTACTCAGTCTAGAATCAGAAAAGGCAGAGGCCGTTGAAAATGAGTGCAGCCTCCTAAGTAAGAACAACCCAAATGCTGTGTGCAAGTCACCCACGTAGTCACGGAACCCACAAAAGGCTTCAGAAACAGACTTGCTAATGCAATGGAGCCAAGTCCCGATCAAGGCTCAGAAGCTGGTACTCTCAGCTTCTGTTTATGACAAAAGTTAAACTAAGTCATGCTTTACTTAATTCCACTAAAAATAAGTTCTGAAAGGCCAGGGCATGGGGACAGAAAAACCACACTGCATTGCTGACTCATTTTCTCTTTTCCAATTCCATTCACCAGTCAAGTTTATCTGCACATAGCACAGAGCTTAGAGCTTCCTGCACACAGTAGGCATCACGTAACTAACAAGTGAGCACACATGCACTGCCCCCCATAAAGGATCAGAAGTAAACCAGACAACCAGGACTGAGCCCTGATGGGAAAGGGTCCGCCCTGGAAACATCCCATGTTGTAGGTAACATGAAAATAACATTGCCACAGTTAGCAAAATATTGGGACCTGCTGTTGGCTACCAAAATGCTCTGCAATTAACAACTCATTAACAGAATGTACCAGTTCTGCCAGTGCTAAAATATCATGCTGTGAATTTAATAAAGAGCATGTGCGTAAGTTTTTTAAAAGAGAGTATGGCCTCTACTAAGAGAGAGAGGGGGGAAGAAAGCAAGGAAGGGACGAGAGAAGGAAGGCGAGAGAGGCAAGATGCAGGAAGGAGACCCAGGAGGCGTGAGTGCGAGCGTTCGCAGGCTGCCCGGCTGCGGCTGCGGCCACGGTCCCGCCCGGCCCGGCCCTGCCCTGCCCTGCCCGGGCTCAGGCCTGCTCCCAGCATGCACCGCGGCCCCAGCGGACTCCAAGATGGCTGCGGGCGGCCCTGGGGATCAAGGCGGCCTTTGTGAAATAGAGACAAATGGCTGCTCCGTGTGCTGCGCCAACTCGGGGAGGAGGGAGCCCCGCCATCCGCCGGGGAGGCTTTTAATGAGAAACGCCCAAGATATCCACGGCAGAGGCCATCACTCACAGCGGCTTGCCCTGAATTACATATTTTCTGACTGCAAATTACTTTTAACAGCGTCTCTACCGTCACTTCAATTGACCTTCCTAACAAAAGGCCGTTTATTAACTAGCACTCGGCCGTTTCCCGGGCTGCGTGGAGCCAGGAGACAGCAGGGATGGCACCGCTGGGTCCTCAGCCGCCGGGGGTCGCAGGCCAGGCACCTGCCGGGGGGGAAAGAAGGGGCCACTAATGGGAGCCCGCAGAGCGCATCTGACCGTGCAGGGGAGGGCCAGGAGTTGGTGTGTAAGACCAACATGAACCTGCCTGGCAAGGGGTGATCTACGGCAACGACGCTGGATTCAGCTCCTCCAGCGGCCTCTCCATCTCAAAACCCTAACAGGAGGAGCGCACACTGAGAGGCCCCTGCTGCCATTGCTGCGTGCTCTGCAGTGGTCACAAAGCCTTTTCAGGCCCCTCAGCTGATGCTCACTGAGAGGTGGCCAATCGTGTTGTCCCTATTTCACAGGAGAGAAAACTAAGGTCCAGAGTCTTCAGACCAGGCAGCTGGCAGAAGGCAGAGCTCAGTGGGACCGCTGGTCTTCCTTCCTGGCCCTGGTCTGCTTCAAATTACACTGGGCACAGAGGGACCAACAGCCCATCCCATCGTGGACCACTAATTATATTTTAAAATGCCAAAGCTCTTCTTTCTCTAGCCATAGCTCAATAAGTCAAGCAAGGGGGAGAAAAGTACAGAAAGATAAAAGTAACATGGGATTAATTTTCCTCACACCTCCGTTTCAAGAGTCAACATTCCCCTCGTAAATAATTTACAACAATAAAAATGAGCTAAGGCCATGTTTGTGTAGGATGGAGGTAAATTTCAGCCTAATGAGGGAGATCTGAGTACCGCACAGGAGGGAATAGGGTGATCGATGGCGTGGAGCTAGCGCGATCGACAGCGCACAAGGAGGGGCTCCACCTCCAAGCAGAAGTCTGGGGCCGACCTGAGTAGGGCAGGGCGAGACAAAATGGGGAAACCTCTGCCGTCCTGGCTGTGGCAGCCAGCAGGGCTCTATAGGGAGGGCCAAAAGTTGACCAGTCCGTTTTTCTTAATGGACATTGAGATTTTTCAGAATTTTACCACTGAGCCCATCTGCAACTAAGATGGTTCTCGCTAAATGCCAGGTTGAGAATGCAGGCACCTGGGAGATCCGTCTGCCCTTGGGCATGGGGAGACTGTAGTGGTACCTCTGACCTTGAGGTGGTCCTCCTAGTTTAACCTTAATCGTGATCCAGTCGCAATCAAACCTTTCCCAAGTGGGCTTTCAGCCTCTGCTAGAGATTTTCCGAGGCTAGAGGCTGCAGAGCCTCGCTCTAGGTAGCCTTTGCTGTGTTGGTCCCTGTGAGGGCTCTTCTGAAAGGAATGTGTGTACAGGTATGTGTGCATGCATGTGCACGCATATGTGTACAGACTGGGCAAGATGGGGAGGGTTAGGATGAAGTGTCTTCCAGGCCAGGAGGATTTCTTCCACTATGCCACGCTCAAACGAATACAAGGCTAGGAGAAAGCCGCTTCCCCTTGTGCCTGCAACGCTGCAAACAGTGCTGGGAGAAGCCCAGCTCCCGGCGCTGCAGCAGCCCGCCAATGCTGTCATCCCAGGTTCACAGAGAAATGAACTTTAACTAGAAAGCCCCTGCATACAGACGGCACACTGCTCCCTTGTAGCTGATCAAAGAATTACTACAACAGTGTGCTTAATCCCTAAAAGTCAGCAGTGCTGGGCTTAACTGCTGAACATTGTTTCAGAATCAAAGGCAGTGCCTCCCGGCCCCAGTCTGGGAGAAAACTGAGCTACTGTATCACAGTTGAAAACTCAGGGGAACTTTGATATCATCTCTGTTTAATTTCCACGGCCCCAGTGAGCCTGGGGTTTATCTCGTTTTATCAACTCCCGTACTGAAATCAAAACCCAGCCAACAAAGCTCAGGCCTCTCTCCACAGAGGCCCTTCCAGCAGCGGGGCGTGGGCTGACGAGTTTAAAGTGCTTTCAGGGGCAACAACTGCAGGGGGCAGCGGTGCTACCTTCAAAGCAGACACTGTAGGCAGTGGGCATGGCATCCGGCCTCCATGGCATCCCGGCATCCCTGCCACAGCCAGGACGGCAGCTCAGAAATAGCGCCAGTGCCGCCTGCCAGGGCAAAGGCATGACTAGCGCACAACTTTGGAGGAGAGTAATTTCCAAGTATTAAGGGGGCAAGTTAAACGAGGCTCCTGTAATTGAAATGACAAAACCAGTGGGCTAATTAAGTCCCTACAGAAGGACAAACTTGTGATCAGCTTGCCTGAAATCCAATGTCAAGGGCACTAAAGACATAAACTGTCTGCCCACATCTACCCGCTCGTGGGACTGGGGAAGGGAAAGGAATAAATCTTTCGTTGGCGGTGGGAACAGTCCGGGAGCAGGGTTAGTGCTGGAAAGCCTGCCACTATGGGATGGTGGAGGTTCTGGGCCTGTTTCCGGGCAGCGGCGATGGTCAGCAGG